ATCCTCACTTTGCTTCTCAACTGCATCTTGATTTAAGGATGTTTAGAGTCTGATGTTCATTTTTTGCAGTGCATGCAACATTTAATGCCATGACTTTATGAATTTAAGACTTTCTGCTCTGATTTAGCACCTTTTTAGGGTCTTACTTTGTGAAAGGGTGAAATTAGGCTTTTAAGAGCCACAGAAACCCTGAAAAGGAGGCCAAGGAACGCCTGAATGTAAAAATGGTACGTTCATGCTACTAAGTGCATGTTTATAAAGTCCCACTGCTTTATTAGTGCAATTATGCATCCTAGGTGACACTTCATTTTTGAGTATATCCTCAATATATGTTGAGCCACTGTTGAATTGTTCTGTGATAGTGAAAGGAAATATTTTCCAAAACTGGAAATATCAAAGAAATTAAACCTATAATCTTGGCAAAATCAGATCCGAAGTGCAATATCAACAGAACAAAGAATTGGCTACAGGCTTTTGACGAGATCTGGAAGCATTTAGCTAAATTCATTGATTTGGGTGACACTGTCAGTTACTTTATGTATGTATAGTTTACAATGTAGTTTGGTTTTGTTGTTGTGGTTTTTTTTTTTTTTCCTATAAAATTGTATTGATTGGCTTATTTTAATTGTTGTGCTGTATTTGTATGCATGGGTTGGTGTATTGTTTTGTATATTTTGTACACAAAAATGTTTTTATATGCTAATATGTATAATAATAAATGCAATTTAATTAATAACAAAAATGCCGTTTCTGCTCAAAATGAACCAAAATGAACAATATCTCATTTTTATGATATTTGCACTGCATTTTTGTTATTCTTGTGTTGACAAACAAGGCAAACTCTACTGTATTTCTTTAGTACAACAGTGAAGAAGTGTGTGTGTGAGTGTGTGTGTGTGTGTGTGTGTGTGTGTGTGTGTGGCGGCCCGTGACCTCACCTGTCTCTCACAGTAGGCCTTCATGAGCTTGCTGAGGGGTGTGTGTCTCTTGATTTTAAACTGGACCACTGACCCGTCCTGTCCCGCCACCTTCAGGTTGATGTGGTCGTTGTTCTCCGTCTTTACCCCCTCCTGAGAAAACAAAAACAAAAAGTTTATGAGATATTACATCATTCTTCCTTGCATATTTTATGCACACATCTCATTTGCAATCCTTGAATTTAATTATTTATAGACATTTCCATTAGCTGCTGGTTTGGAAATCTCAGTGTGAAACATAAAAATGCATTAAATAGAGTAGTTACCGTTAGTGGGAAGATCATAGGTAAAGAACAAAGAAGCTTGACATGTCTTGAGTCGGGCTCGATCTGTGCTCTTGGACAGCGGCCGTTTCTAGTATCCAGAGTTTTCTATGCTCCCTTCAGTTTCTCACAATAGACTACCAAAGATCAAAAGTAACCGATATAAATATTTGTTTGTCCCCTGTGCAATTCAGTTGTTAAATGGCCCCGAAGGAAATTTTTAGGGAAATGTATTTTATTTATATTTTTATGTATTCATTTTTTAAATAATGCATTGTATGTGTCTGCTGTATGTTTGTTTCGCTGCATCCAAATTGCCGGCACGCTTGATTTGGTCAACAAAATATATTCTAAATAATGGCTCAGTCATCTATAACTTATCAATTGATGATTAAAACAGTATGTGAATTCATGCAATAATTAACATGGACAGAGAAAGCCAGAAGCTAACATGTGACTCTTATGGTCAGTACAAACACTAATTTTAGTCCTCTAACTATTTGAGGTACACAATATCATGTGGTCTTATGATTAAACTGTAATTTTCATAATGGATATGAATGCTGTCCATCATAAACCTGACCAAAATGGATACATGGGATGGATACATGGTTTGAAAATCCAATGCAATAATAAACAAACACGTGCATGTTCATCTTTATGGTGGTTTTAGTGGCTCTGAGTGTTATTAGCAGTGCTGTGCATGAGCTGCTGTGTTTAACGTGATGAATGGATGCAAATGTGAGCATCCGACTCGCATCCTCAACAGAAAACATGTTTCCATCAGGTCTAAAGCGCAGAGCTCGCACGTGACGCGTTTCTTACAGCAATATACGCCCGGTATGAAAACGTTTTACCGTATTTTCTGCTAATTATTTGATTTGAATGGGTCTGCGTGTGTCGTGCGCGGTGTGAGCTCGGCACGCGCGTTCACACGTCTCCTTCCGGTGTTTTTGAGGCGGCAGTTACAGTATTTATCCACTACGCGCGATATTTCACGTTAAAAATCAAACCACCCGCGTCCCTCCGTGTTTTCGCAACCCATCGGACGCTTTGAAAAGTAACCAATAATAAACCATCCCTTCGTTTTTAAACGCCACTCACCTTGGGTTTCTCGTCGGCCATGGTTATTGTATTTGCGCTTCTCGACGCCGCCACACAAAGACTCCGCGGGGACGCGCACGTCCGCGCCCCCGATTAAAACCAGGCGCGGCGTGCGCGGTCACGAGCGGGGCGTCCGCTCTCCGCTCCGTCGCGATTGGCCAGAGTGGGTGACGTCATGCGCGAGACCAGGGAGCCGGGGTAACATGCACGCGCATTCGTGCACAGTGTCTTCTCTTGTAAAAAAAAATGTGACCAAATTTTAACAAAAATAACACAAAACGACGGTGATTTCCTAGTGATTATCATATGTGATCAGATATATAGACATCCATGAGTTTATTCGTTTATTCTAGGAGTGTTGAGTTGATGCTGAGGGAAGGATCCTGTTTTCCTCACACTGGAGGCGAAGGACGCCATTTTGTTCTTCATGTAATTCACAGATCAGTCTGAATGTACCTCAGCCATTATTCATTAATAATTCAAAACGAGTGTGAGCAAACTACAACAGACATGTGATATAATTTGCACCAAGTTCATTCTGAACCTCTATCGAGAAACATTTTACCCCATTAAATTGACAGTTAAAAAACTATATTAGGACAGTATATAAAACAGTTCAGTATTTTAAAGAAACATTACACGCTGTACCAAAATCTTTATTTCATTTATGTATTCTGATAAAAAAACACAGCAAATTAATATATATATATATTTAAAACTAAAAATAACGTTGATTGTACAGTTAATGACACACTACCCAGCAAACAATTTTTGGTTTCCAGAACGTTATTTTTTATGGTTTGTTATTGGTTAGCCAAGTTTTCTTAATGGAAATAGAACGTTAGTTTTTGGTTTGTAGAACGTTATTCTAACGTTAATCTAACGTTCCCCTAACATTAGTATAGCGTTCCCAGAACGTTATTTTGTTAAGGTTTGTTTTTGGTTAGCCAGGAAAGTTTTCTTAAAGGGGTCATATGATGCTGCTAAAAAGAACATTATTTTGTGTATTTGGTGTAATGAAATGTGTTTATGCGGTTTAAGGTTAAAAAAACACATTATTTTCCACATACTGTACATTATTGTTTCTCCTCTATGCCCCGCCTTTCTGAGACACGTCGATTTTTACAAAGCTCATCGGTCTGAAAAAGCAAGGTGTGCTGTGATTGGTCAGCTATCCAATGCGTTGTGATTGGCCAAATACCTCAAGCATGTGATCTTCAGAAATCATTCTAATATGCTGATTTATTATTAGAATTATCAACAGTTGTGCAGCCAAATATTTTTAAGTTACGCCTTCTTTCTTTGCGTGAACGTTTGGGCGGCGTTATGCAAATCTTCCCATATCGTGACGTAGACATGTGGGGGCGTGTTTAAACGAGCCGTTTTAGGTAGGCGTAGCTGATTCTTAACTTTTATAAAGAATATCTCTTTGGATTTGAGACTTTAGTCTTTGCAACTTTACAGATCTTCTTTATGCACCAAGAGCTTGTAACACTCCAAAGAGAAAGGAAAAATTTAAATCGCATCATATGACCCTTTAACAGAAATAGAACGTTAGTTTTTAATTTGTATAACGTTATTTTAACGTTCCCTCTTTACTCCGATATCCTTACGTCAATAATCATCCCGCACACTCGCGACCCATTTTTCTTTTGATCATTAAACTTCTCGATTAACATCATGTTCTCTTCAGTTAGGCATGTCAAATCCCCTGAAATCATATTTACTCTCATAACTATATCAATTTTAAGTAATCATTCAGTAAAGAGATTGATAAACGAACGAGTCAATCAACCAGTAAAACGAACAGTTAATTTATAAATTCCGCGAGCGCGTGCAGAACAGAGGCGCGCAGTAAATGAAGACACAAATTTATGTTTTCTGTTCTTAACACTGGCTTAATATTATAATTTAAAACGCGTTTTGATTGATCTAATTTATGTATTTTAGTCAATTCTGAAACGAATTTCAGGGCTGTAGGTCATTACACAAAAACATCTACAAGGTTTTTAGTTTACAGGGTTATAGAAATAACCTAAGTATAACCATTAGGTTATTGAAAAATAACCACCCTGCGTTTTGGGAATGTTATTTTATGGTTGCAAAAAAAATTAACCTAAAAAGAACGTTCCTGGAACGTTATTTCTTGGTTCTCGAAAAATAACCAAAAACGTTAGGGGAACGTTCTGTGTTTGCTGGGTAGAACATATTTTTTTTGGCTTTACAAACAACGACCGTAATTTTACGCTAAATCAACTTTAATTAAAACATATAACTAACATTTTTGCATCCTATAATAATCAGATAACTAGTTAACGTCCATTCAAATCGCTAGAATTGTCCTCGAACCACTGCAATACCGTCACCGACCAGCAGGGGTCCAGAGAACAGCGCGAAATTATGTAAAAATAAATAAATAAAATAAATAAATAAATAAATTCTTATTTTTACTCTTTTATTCTGTGCGTAATGCAAACATGACAATTATTTGTGAATGGCATGCGTAGTCATTAAACATTGCTGATAATTCTACAACAATGGTTGTTTCGTAATAATAACCATATTACTACTAATAAGCGCATTTACATATTATTTTATTGCGCTGCTTATTTAAGTGTCGACTCGTATTTTGCTCAGGCATTCAGTGCGTCGTATTAACCGCGCAGGCATCGGGGTCCTTCAGACTCATGGCGCTGGATTCTGAGCGCTGCGTGTGTTGAATGTTGTTCAGATAATAGGCCGTATTACAATTTTTATACAGTCTATGATTACAACATTATACGTCGGTATTTCTAGGAAGGATTTAATATCGCGGTGTTATGGAGGAGGTGGATGTTGAGCCCAGTCCCACGGTAATCGCTGATTTAAACACTTTCATCTATGCATATGAATATTACTGCACGGTACAAGTATGTATATGTGAAGAATACGCTTGTGGAACATTTATAAAGTAGTTACCCTTAAGGTAATATCATGATACTAAAATAGATACAAAGTAATATACCATGGTATGTTTATATATGTGTAATATAACAAATATGTATGTTATATGTTGTGTTTGTATATATGTTTAAGTATGACTTAAACAAATAATAAAAATCTTATATTTAATTATGTGATCCTTGCAGCTCATTCCCAGCGCTGGATTTCACCAGAGGCATTTGGGTTTTGAATGGGGTCCTGGAGATCTGTTAGTCTATGAGACGAACTACAAACTGCAAGGTATTCACATCCACACTATAAAGACTAAAGAGGGATGTGGAAATGAAAGCTGTCAGAAAGCTCATCGGTGTTCTTTGTTTTGCTCAGGTCCGAGGTCTGCAGGCTCTCCGTTCGTTCACATCGTGTGGAAAGATGAAGACATCTGCTCTCCCATCCTGCGCAAACTCTTCAACGAGTCCCATCTCATCTTCGTGGGGCTGCAGAAAATCAAAGAGGACATGCCCAGCAAAAACAAGAAGTCACAGTGAGTCCTCGTGCCTAATAGTGTGGACGTGCATTCTGTTGAAGCGATGTGATCTCTGTCATTGTCTCCTGCAGGTTTGTGAGCATCAGTAAGAACTACAGGTCTGTGATCAGAGCCTGTATGGAGGAGCTGCAGCAGAACGCAGGTAAACGCCGCATGACACACATCGCACACAAGGAGGAGGAGGAGGATGCTTTTGATCAGCTGATCACGCTGTCCTCGTTCTCTTTTCAGTTTCAACACAAGAGGGTTCTTTAGCGTCACAGTATGGAGATCAGGTACTGTCAAGTCCACAGGCTAAGATGGACATCAACTCAAAACTGACTGATATATTGTATCCGGATGACCAGTGCAGTTGTTTAATTCTGCGATAAGGCAGATATGCAGTTTCACAAGCACGGTTTCATTATAATCAGTGTTGTTATTGTTAACGGAGTTTTTTATTAAAAGTGAAATAAAATAAAATATAAATTTTAGATGCAAAAACTAAAATGACTCCAATTGAATCTGAAATAAAAATGAATAAAAACTAAAATCTTTAAAACCTAACTTAAAGTTATAATTAAAACTGAAAATATAAAAATAAAAACGAATTAAGCATGTTAATAAATTCTGTAATAGTATATTAATAATTATTTTGCATGCTTTATTTTATAAAGGTAAATTAATCATTAGATTTACAACAGAAAAAAATAAATATGCATGCATTTATAAAGATAAGTTAAACACTAGATTACAAAATTAAAACAGTATGCATGCATTCTAAATATTATTTTATATGCTTGATAAAGATAAATGAATGATATTAGTGGTCGACCGATATGGGTTTTTTGACAGCCGATGCTGATATCTTGGAAAGCAGGGTGGCCGATATAAAGCCGATATAATTTAATATTTAAGAAATTTGAAATGGATTAAAATAATTGTGTAAAATAAACATACTTATACTATACATTTTAATTCCTTTGTTTAACAGTTCTATCTGATTATTAGATAGACTTCTATCCATATTAGACAGAACTGAACGACGACAGCGAACAAGAGGGAGAATGTGAGCGATGTGCGCTCAGGCGCTGCCGTTCTCAGCGCCGTCAAAATAAAAGTCCGCCGCGCCGGTAAAAATAAAAGTCCCGCCTCGAACACATCGGCCAAACAGAAAAACTTATCGGCCGATGCCGATATTTGAAAAATGCCAAATATCAGCCGATATATCGGCCTTGGCGATATATCGGTCGACCACTAGAATGATTATTACAACCATAAAAACATTGATGCATTCTGTATTTTCATAAAACAACACTAGATTACAAAATTAAAACAGTATGCATGCATTCTAAATATTGTTTTATATGCTTGATAAAGATAAATGAATGATTATTACAACCATAAAAACATTGATGCATTCTGTATTTTCATAAAAACACTATATAACAAAATTAAAACAGTATGCATGCATGCATTCTAAATATTATTTTATATGCTTGATAAAGATGAATGATTATTACAACCATAAAAACATTGATGCATTCTGTATTTTCATAAAACAACACTAGATTACAAAATTAAAACAGTATGCATGCATGCATGCATTCTAAATATTATTTTATATGCTTGATAAAGATGAATGATTACAACTATAAAAACATTGATGCATTCTGTATTTTCATAAAAACAAGTTAATTAAAAGTGATGTTAAATACATTTTTCTAAAGCTAAAAATGTATTTTTTATTGCAATGTAATGTCTTCCTCTGCCTCTGAAACAATCGTTCCGCTGACATAACACATGAGCAAAGAAAAAATAAAGTTATGATCCAATCAAATCTCTAATGAAAGTACTGTCCTCATGATTTCAGCTGAATATTCTGTCACATGAGTGAAGCTAAACGTTCGTCTGATCTCTCTAGGTCTCTATTCTTTTGGCGATCGAGCTCATATGGAACTTGTGTGAGGTTCTCTTCATCGACGCAGCTCCAGGTAGAGAGAGACGTCTGAAATGTTCAGGAGTCCAAATCCAAGCAGACCGTTTTTTCTAGTTTGTCTGACGTGGTTTTGCTCTCACGTTGCAGCCGGGTCTCTGCTGCTCCACCTGCTGGATTGGGTGCGTCTGCACAAGTCAGACGTGGACGCGAGAGCGCGAGAGGTGTTACAGAGCGACAGCCCCGCCCATCATCAGTCCTACTGGGACGTGGTACGAAGCACATGACCTCTGACCTCCAGAACCTCTGCATATCATCACCCGTGTCCTTACGTGTGTCTTTGTGTGTGTGTGTGCAGGTGATCAGTTTAGTCCTGCAGGGCCGCGTGGATGAAGCCCGTCAGGTGCTGTCCAAACAGGCGTCTCTGCGGGCGGAGAGCAGCTCTGTGTTTAAACGCATGGACGTCCTGTTACATACCATGCCCATCTTTAACGTACGTACATCAGGATGCATCTGACACACTTTTCCAAAACCTGCTGAGAACATGTTGTATTTCACCCCAAAATCAGAAGGAATTATATGTTATTCAAGAAAATGAAGCATATTTTAAGGTTTCGTAAGTATGTTTACTAGAGCCCGACTGATATGTTTTTTTTGGGACCGATACCGATATCGCAAGTGCAGCCAGACCCTCTTGGAAAATTCAGCTTTGATCACAGAAATAAATGACATTTTACAATATATTCACATAGGAAACAGTTCTTTGAAATTGTAATAATATTTCGCAATATTATTGTTTTTACTGTATTTTTGATCAAATAAATCCAGCCTTCGTGAGCAGAAGAGACTTCTTTAAAAAAAAAACATTATTAATCTTACTGAACCAAAACTTTTGAATGGTAGAGTACATTTGATATATTATATAATACATTATTTACAATTTTAAATATATATAATATATGTGACCGTGGACCACAAAACCAGTCATAAGGGTCAATTTTCTGAAATTGAGATTTATACATCATCTTGAATAAATAAGCTTTCCATTGATGTATGGTTTGTTAGGATAGGGCAATATTTGGCCGAGATGGCGGCATATTCGCCGATACCGATATATCGGCGACAGGCTCATATCGGCCGATAATATCGGCAAAACTATATATCGGTCGGGATCTAATGTTTACATTATATTCATGCATTTAAACGCTAAATTCTTAATACTGCAATGCAAACAATATATTTACAAAAAAATATTACACTGTTGTTACTAATGATAATACATTTTTTATATATTTACGGTAGGAAAATATACAAAATATCTTCATGGAACATGATCTTTACTTAATATCCTAAAATTAGATTTTTGGCATAAAAGAAAAATCTATAATTTTGACCCATACAATGTATTTTTGGCTATTGCTACAAATATACCCCAGCGAACTTAAGACTGCTTTTGTGCTCCAGGGTCACAAATTGTATAATGATTGTGTAAAAAGTTGTATTTTAAATTAAAAGTATTTATAAATTATTGTCACATTTGTTGTATTGTCTTTAATTTGCAGTATGCTGATGTAAAGTATGTGAAAAATTGCCTTAAAACAACTGACTCACAATTGAGAACTACAGAAAAACTCAAAAGTAAAACAAGTACAAAAAAGGTTAAATGCAAAAATTTTAATGGACCTAAAATAGACTAAATTTTTATATGTAAAATACAATAATTTATGTTTTCCTTTTATTTTTTTGCGTGAAATAAAACAAAAAAATTTGTGCTGTCAAACGATTAATCGCGATTAATCACATCCAAAATAAAAGTTTTTGTTTACAGAATATATATGTGTGTGTACTGTGTATATGTACTATGTATATATAAATACACGTGCATGTATATATTTAAGAAAATATGTTGTTTATATAATATAAATTATATGAATATAAATATATACATGTAAATATTTTCAAAATATATCCTGTAAGTGTGTGTCTTAATATATACATAATAAATATACACAGAACACACATATATTTTGTAAACAAAAACTTTTATTTTGGATGTGATTAATCGCGATTAATCGTTTGACAGCACTACTTAAAAATATGTATCATTTTTTTTGTGAGATTTACTTCAGTAAAATCACTGCAACAACAGTCTTAAGGGCTTATTGTTTTTATAAAACTGTCACCATAAAAATGATTAAATAATTGAATTCTGCGTGCAGCCCACAGGAACTCAAACGCTGACTGAGTTTGATGTCAAATGGAGACACTGGCACGAGGAGTGTGACCGCTGTCTCCAAGACAACACCTTCGCTAGCAACCGTCACCTGGAGACCATCTGCAAGGTGCGGAGTCCTGACCTCTGCTGAGCTGTGACTGAAGCTGCTGAGAGCGTATGATCCTGACTCTGTCTGTCTCCGTCAGATCCTGGTCGGTGATGAAGACACGATACTGGAGCAGAAAGAGCTGCTGAGCACCTGGTATCACTTCCTGGTCACGCGGCTGCTCTTCACTCACCCGACCATCAAACCGCCCGATCTGCACTACTACGCACAAGTACATACAACCAGTCCTATTCTACTGTCATTGAGATACTGTTATAGTTTTTATTTATTTATTTTTTAAATGTCTATCTAGTTTTTATTCATTTGTATTTCAATTTTAGTTTTAGTTATTTTAGAACATCTTGTTAAACTTGCCAATTAGCTGAATTAAAATTAGTTAAAAATAAATATTATTTACTATTTTATTTTAATTCCGATAAATTTATTTATTTATTTATTTATTTTTTTTTAAGGGTCTTTTTTCATTTGGTT